ATGGTGGATTTGCCCGCTCTCGCAGCTCGCCTTGGAGCGGCGACGCAATCGGTGTCGGCATTGGCTAGACCGCACCACGTGGAGTTGAACGAACACGATCTGATCGAGATGGGGGAGATGAGTCATTTCAATCCCTTCTTGTCGCTCGCTGCACGTAAAGGAGCTATAGCAGCGCAACAGCACGAGCGAAATGAAACGCGAGAGCGTGACTCATTTGTCCCTTGGGCATTCCCGGGCGCTGCAGTCGAGGCTCGAGTCGAGGCACTGGTTGGCCAGATTTTGACAAGCCTTTGGGCGCACGGCGCTGATCCTCAGGAGCTGCCCAGGGTTGCTTGCCGGATTGTTTTGCCGGGATTGGAGCAGTCGCGTCAGGCAATAGAAGCCAACCAGCCTGGGTTAGGCTCTATTTCGCTACGATTGGCCGGTTGCAAACCCGCTCTCGATGTCGCCGTGCCGATGCCTTATGCCGGTGTATTTGTGGTGCCGTCAATCGATGCACCCCGCGCGCGATTGGCTACGTGGCAGCCGCGATTGATTGGACGACCGGGACTTTATCAGTTGACTGGTCAATCGTCGCGATCATCCAAGGCCAAGGGGCGATTGATCAGCAGATTGTCGGGAGCGCGATTTGGGGTGTGTCCGGGTTACTGGTTAGGGTTGGACTGGCCTGCATTCGAGGCGGAGCAAAGCCGAAGGGGCGATGAACAGGTTAGGCGATTGGCCTATACCTTTTTGTACGGCGACCGGGTGTCCGTGCCTTTCGAGCCGGACGGTTCTTCAGGTGCGCAGGTCGAGCTGCATGATTTATCCTGGCAACGGGCGATGACGTATGCGGTCTTTGTCGCCGAGAGTATTGCGGCCTGGGTTTTGTCGGGTCTGGCGACTCAAGCTGCCCGCGGTCTAGAGTGCTGTGCCGCCTGGCAATCGCTATTGGAAGCCGGTGCTTCTTCGCTGTCACGGTGCCTTTGGCAACCGTTTCGGGTGACGGACCGTCATGCGCCGTGGGTTAGATTACTGGATAATCTAAACGGTGCGAATGCGTTGTCCGAACTGTCAACGGTAACGCGCTACCTTTACTCGGGCGAAGGGCTTGACCGGTTGCCACTAAGCTTTCGGCAGCTGCATCCAAGTTTCCAGGGGATCTTTTGCCCAGTCGATACGCCAGAGTCTCAGCGCATCGGCATCACGTTGCACTGGGCGGCGAATGCACGGGTTCAGATCGATGGGGTGCCGTGCCCCCCTAACGCGCCGTCATCCGCCGCGCTGCAAGACAATGGTCTGTCCGCCTCGGCGTGCTTGATCCCGTTTGCGCAGCACAATGCCGGCACCCGGATGATGATCGGGGCAAAGAACTTGAAGCAGGCGGTGCCGATCCGTGAGGCGAGTACGCCAATAATCCAGACGGGCTGGGAACAACGAATTCGCGAGCGAACCCGCTCGCTTGACGCGCTCGTGCCGATGCCGGCGCCAGCGCCTGGCCGGGATCTGCTAGTGGCCTACATGCCCTGGTTTGGGTGGAATTTCGAAGACGCGATTGTCGCTCGGCAAGGGATTGCGCCTGCGTTTGAGTGGGTGCGCGATGATAGCGCTGGTGTGATCCGGCTGATGCCAGGCTGTCGGCCGATCACGCATGGCGGGCTCGAAGGCGGGCTGCTTAGGGCGGGCACGGCGATTAATCGTGACGCCATCCTCGCATGGGTGCTAGACGAAACGGGGCGGGTGTGTGCTGTGCGGGCACCGGCGTCTGCCTGCGACGGGCCGGCAACACTGGTCTCGCTGCAATGGATCGCGCCGCCGGAGTTTGCGCAAGAAAATATCGCTCGTGGCGGGGCGCTGAAATATCGGATTTCTCGGAGTGTGCCTCTTGGCGTGGGCGACAAACTGATGGGGCGTCACGGTAACAAAGGGGTGATCTCGACGCTTCTGCCCGATGCGCAGATGCCTTGCCTGCCCGATGATGAGCAGCTACCGGCGCAACTGCGCGGGCAGCCAATGGATTTGATTCTCAATCCGCATGGGGTGGTCGGTCGCTTAAACATCGGGCAGTTAGCAGAAACCCAATGGGGGCTGGCGGCGATGATGGGGGCCACGCTGCCCGACACGTTGGCCTTTGGTGCACAAGATCATGCCGCGTTGCTTGAGGCGTTTTTTGCGTCGTTGGCGGACAGGACTCAGGGCCTTGTCGATACAAACGGCAAAATCCGGTTGTGCTTACCGGATGGAACGCTGACAGAGCAGCCCGTTTGCGTGGGGGTTCAACACACCGTCCGATTGGGTCACTCGCCGGCGCTGAAGGCAAACTATCGCGGCGGGGGCGAACAAGGTTGCGCGACTTACAACATGGTCACCGGTCAACCGGCGGGTGGCCGTCGCGTGGGTGGCGGGCAGCGGATCGGTGAGATGGAAATGTGGGCGCTGGCAGCGAATCGGTTGCCGGCCTTCTTGAATGGCGTGCTCGGCTATCGCTCCCAACCGCGACCAGCTAATGCACAGCAAGAGGCTGACCGTTACTTTGCCGGCGGGCTGCACAATGCGGTTATTGCCCACCTGTTTGCTTTGGGGTATCGAGTAAACGGGGTTGGCCCAGAGGCGCGATTACAAGCGATTGAGCCAGCGGATCTCGATGGCTTTGCCCAGGTGTTGCATGGCGGGCTTTGGGAGTCTAGTCAACGCGTGCGCTTTGGCTGTCCGGGATGCTCGTTGTTAAAGGAGGCCTTCTCCGTGTCGCTCGATAGACGGGGGACGCCTGTGCCGGTGCGGGCGAGCCTTTGGCTTGATCGGGTGCAGGTGGTGGCGCAGGATTTGAATGCGCTGCAAGGGTGGCTTAACAGACCCGATCATCTGGATTTGGGTGTCGGTGAGATCGCCTCGCAAGGGTTTCGCCTGCGATTTGCGCACGGCAAACCTTTGCGTACAAACATGATTATTAAGCGGGAAAAGAATGGTCTACAGTGGCGTTTGGCGCTGCAGATTGAGGACCCGTGCACCGAACTGCTGGCGCAGGATCATCCAGAGATTTTGTTCGAAAGAGTCGCTGACGGGAACACAAAGTTGGCCTGGGCGGTGCTCGATCTGCGCACGCGGAAACGCCCGGGGGCTTGGAAGCTTGCCCAGTTCTTCACCAAATGTGCCAGCCACTACGGCAGTAATCTGATCGTTGAAGATCTCACCGGGACCTCTAAAACACAAGCTGAACCGGATGGATTGGCCGACCCTAGGATCTTCGGGCAAGCCGATCTGCGCGAAGGGGGGGTGACCCGGGCTGGGGTTATCGCATTGGGGTGCACCGTTGTCCCGGGTCATCCCGACGAGCATTTACCGCCCCTGACGCACTGGCCAGTATTGCCATTCCGGTATCGCTATGAACCGCCGGCCAGCGTTGGCAGAGCCCGTGGACACGATCGCCTAAATGAACTGTATCGTCGCCTGCTTGACGCGCGCGACACGGTTTCTTCAGATAAACGTATCAGCCGCGTTGGTTCTGTGATCGGCCAGATTCGTAATGAGATCGCAACACGTTTGTTCGGTCGCGTGGGCGATCGCCAGCACCAAGCGCTAGCACCAAAGGTTGCCTTGGTGCGCGGGGCCGGCTTGGCGCGCCGTGTGAACTACAGCGGGCGTGCAGTCATTGTTCCTGATCCTGGATTGTTGTGGCACGAATGTTCGTTGTCCTTGCGGGCGATTGTGACGTCATTTGCGCCCTGGTTTCGACTTGAAGTGCTTGCCGCGGGCAAGCAAACTGCACGATGGGCGGATGATCGGTGGTGGGCTGAACCGGACTTCGAGCAGCTTACGGAGCAGGACGGGGAGTCGCTGCAATCATTGGTTGAGCAGGTTTTAGCGCGTGATGAGGGCGTATGGACTCTGCTGGTGCGCAATCCTTCGCTGCATCGACACAACGTTCAAGGCTTTCGGGTGCGATTACGCCGGCATGATCAGGGTGAAGTGATCGGCATCAACCCGTTAGTTTGCCGAGGGTTCAATGCTGATTTCGATGGGGATGAAATGTCGTTTCATGCAGCCATTACGGTGGCCGAACGCGATGAGGCGATTTCGGCACGACCGAGCGCTCTGCAAAGCCGCTTGTCATGGGCCGAAACGGGGCTTGTCCCAATGTGCAGTTTGACGCAGGATTTTTTGCTGGGCGATTGGTTGCAGCGTCAACAGGACACAGAATCCGATACTCCCGCTGAGATAAGCGGACTGGGTGGACAAGGTAGCGTCCGGGAGCGTGCCGCGCAGCTTTTTGTCAGTGCAAAAGAGGAGCGTCAGCTGATCGCCCAGATGACACACTGGTGCGAGCAGGTCCTAAAGCGGGCCACAAAGCGCGGGGCGTCCTTCTCGTATGTGGAGCTTCGGGTATTGGCACGATACCTACTGGAGCATACCGATAACCAGGCAAGTGCTGCCGGCGCTGACCGTAATGCGATGCTTGGACAAGCTTGCCTACGAACGGTCCTGGCGTTGGCCAAAGCGCCCGAGCCGTTAGCGGGGCGAGACTTGGCGGCGATGGCAGCCAGTGGTGCGCGTGGTGATGCGGCGCAGCTGCGCCAGCTGTTACTAGAACGCGGTTGGCTATCGAGTGGCGATGAGAAGCTAGATGCCACCATCCAGACCCAATTTGGGTTTGGACTGGTTCAAGGTGCCACTAATGCTGCCATGTTCTTTGACACCTGCTATAGCGCGCGGGTAGAAATGGCCGACAAGAAGCTTTTGGTGGCCCGTGCGGGCGGGTTGACTCGACGCTTGGTGTTTGCCCTTTGGCCCGTGACGATCAGAGCGGGGAGTTGTACCAGCCCAGCGGACACATTCCGTACTCCCGGTCAGTGCCGCTGGGCGCCACAACGTTATATTTGCGCTGCTTGCTATGGGCCGCTCGCGGGGGGGGTGGCGCCAACGGCGGGCTTACCGGTCGGATTGCTGGCGGCTCAGTCCATCGGTGAGCGGGGGACCCAGTTGTCAATGCAGAGTTATCACGGCAGCGGCACGCAATTTTCGATAGGGGATGTCATTGCCGCGCTTAGGCCCCAGAAGGAAAAGGATCGAGGGCCGTGGTTGTTAGAAGAGGAGTTTGTGCAGCGTTTCGTTAGTCAATCAGCCTATGCGAACCTTGATCAACGTCACTTACGATTGCTCTGGCGTTTTACTCACGGCGAGCAAATGAGCCTCGCTCAGGCCGCTGTGACGGATGGACTGGATGCCCTGGCTAGCGTGCCAGCGATTGCTGGTAATAGCCCGTTCCGAATGCCCGAGTCGGTGCTGGCACAAGCCCAGGTGGATGCATCAGCATCTAGTTCTTTTCGGCCTTGGGCGCAGATGTTGCAAGGACTGGCGCCGGTCAGCGAGGCCGAATCATGAGTCGGCGGCGCGAGCCCAGCACGGGCGCAAGGGATCGAACGACAGACCGCTCTCGTTCGAAATTGCAAATGTCAATTTCTTTGCAAAGTCACGATTTGGAGCAGATGGAACGCCAACGAGCGCCGCACGGGCCGGTCACCTCGCATGACTTTGCCCCGCCTGATGAGTTAAGGGATTTGCGTAACACCGACGAGGATAGCGATCTGCATGACCTTTCTGATCCCGATGCGCGCGGCGAGAACGGGTCACTTATGAGTTTTGATCGACTAACCAATGACGTTCGGTTGCAATCGCTTGGCGCTCACGATGTGCAGTTCTCGCCTTGGCGAAGCGCCGGGGCATTAATGATCCGCCGCGATGACTCTGACACTGAGACGCCCTGGCGAGTCAATGCTCATCTTCCCGTAGCGCTGTGGGCTGACGACACTGAATTGGCGATGGCATTGGTTAGCCTGTTACGAGGCCTAGCTGATTGGATGCAGTATCGACAACAGGCGTTTTTAGCTGAGCCCAGTGTTGATAATTGGATTGCGCCGTGGGGTGATGCTTGGCGCGAAGCTTACCGCCAAGGCAACACAGAGCGGTTGGAATGGCTCGATCGTCACACCCTCGTGCAGGAATCGGGTTTGTTAGCATGGATTCAGGAGGACGGGTTCTTTGATCGGTCTCAGACTTTGGCGGACCGAACGCGCTTTAACCGTTTGGCAGATGGGCTCTGGTTGTTGTGGCCAGCGATGCAAATGCGACTCGCTTCACTGATTGGAGGACGTTCTTGACAGACGGGCGTCGGGCAAAACAAAGGGCGTTGCAAAGCGCGGTTAAGGCTGCGGCGTCTGAGGCGGATGTGGACGACACGGCTAAAGCGCCGATGGATCGGCGCTTCGATGGCGTGTCAGTGACAGTCCATCCAATCGCCCGGGTCATCCACTTGCGTTTCGATAGCGAGGTACCGGTGCTCAGCGCTCAGGAAAGCGCGGCTACATCGGAGGTGATGTTTCGAGCTGGCCTACCGCGCCAGCCGACTGAACCATTGGCAACCTACATGACGGTGTTCGTGTCATGCGCCCAACCACCTGGCAGTTTGGAGTCAATCCAGATTTATGCCTGGCGCAGCGTGCTGCTAGAGGTATTCACCCCGGTACAGGTACGTTTTTTTATGGGTGGCGATGCCCATGAAGAAGCAGTCAGGACAATTGAATCGCTAACGAGTAAGAGAGGAGCGATTGGTCAGGTTCGCCACCAGCCGGCCATGGACCTAACAGCGGGAGACCCGCACCGCTCGGAAGATGCAGCGATTCGTCTCTTAGTAGGCGGCGGCGGCGAGCGGATCATGACTTTGCTCGATACGCTTGACGACGTTAAGGGGATTTTCCGGCAACTCATCGGTTCAGATGTGGGCACTCAGCGCCAGCGGTATTTAAAGCTCCTTAAGCCGGCCCTCGTAGAGGACGCCAACGATAAGAATCGCTATGGGGCGGTGGAGAGGGCACAGGAATTTGCAATGGAGCTGTGGGGTGAGGCTGTGCGCTCGTTACCCAAGGTGCTAATTCTGGGCGAGTCGGGAGCGGGGAAGTCGTTGGTTGCTCAGTACTTGGCGCGCAGAACCAGCCCGTCGTTGGGTCCCCTAGCAAGCGGCGGCTTATCCAGACCCATGTATGCGGCACCGCTGCCGCGCTATCTTGGTCGTGATGATGACTTAGAGTTTGAGCTTTTCGGTTTCGTTGGGGGAGCCTTTACGGGCGCTCCCAAAGCGGGAGACCCAGGGCATTTGCTGGCCAACACAGGCGGGGTAGTCTTCTTCGATGAGATCGGCGAGGCCAGCGCCACCTTACAGTCTCGCCTGCTCACGTTCTTTGATGATTCCTTAGTGCGGCCGCGGGCGCTTGCCGCGCAACTACTCTGTCCGCTGTTGGTGATTGCGGGGACTAACCGAGATCTACGCGAACAATTGGCGAGCGGACGGACACCGGGACCAGACGAATATCGCAATGATCTTTTTCAGCGATTCACGCATGTGGTTGAACTGCCCCCGCTTAACGAGCGAAAGCAAGACCCTGCTGATTTTCGAGGGGTGATTAAAGTGATTCTGCAGTCGCCGCGCTTTGCTCGCTTTGCGCCGCGAGCGATTACGCTTGAAGCCTGTGATGTTCTTAGCGGCAATGCCTGCGATTATCGGCACGGCAACTTTCGCCTGCTCGAGCGGTCGCTCGAGCAGGCTTGCCGTCGGGTGGTTGCTCGAGCAGGCATCGGCGCCATGATCGAGAAAGAAGATCTCGCAGACATCGTTGGATAACATGTTGTCGGCGTTCATTGACCGCTGGCAGGGTGTGGAGTGCGGCTACCCAACTTTGGTTGGGCTTTTTTGTTGACCTTACCTGAAAGTGCCGGGGGGTAGGACGTCGCCGCCCCGACTGCTAGCGAGTGTGCAATGGCTAAGATAAGCAAGAATGGTCATTTAATCTCCATTGAGAATGTTTGGCGCGGCGTCCATTCCGATTGAATGAGCGCTGCCAAACTAATCAGCAATTCACAAGTAGCAGTGGCAGCGGGCAATCTGCGGTTAGGCTCGGCTTGCAGTCATGGCGTGGGACGCATGTGGTGCAGATCATGCTTGAAGCTGCCAATCGCTTGACGCAGTTGGCCACTCCCGCCGCAGTCCGGACAGGCTGGCAGTCCGGTTGTGTCGGGACGGTCCGGCTCTTGGCGCCGCCACAGCGTGTGGTCGAAAAGCAGTTGTTCCTGAGCCTTTGGGAACGCGGTGGCGAACGCGCGATGAGCTGGCAGCTCGAAAGTCGGCAAGTTTTTAATCAGCAGCAGGTTTCGGGCACCGATTCCGCGCAACACAGGGCTCCATTGTGGGTTCCCAGAATTGTGGTTCAGGATCGCCATAGTCAACAAGGCGCAGATTGAGTTGACACGGCTGGTGGCAAAGATCGATGCGCCGGCTGAAGTGACGTCGTTGACATAGCCGCCCGACAGGTAGTGGTCATATCGGCACTGTAGAATGCATCGGTGGCAAGCGGGCGTGACATCGGGGTGGGTGAACGTGACTTCTGCTCCCGCGCCGCCTTCATACAGCTGAGCCGCTAGGCTGGGAATACCGTAGTGCAGTGCCACCCGGTTGCCAAACGCCTGCGAGTAAAAATCGTCCGTCATGATCAACAGTAAGGTGGCGGCTGGAGGCACGCCGCCTGGTACCCAGGCGGTCTTTAGTGGGTCTGTTAGAGGAACCTCTTGAGCACGGGCTGCCAATGCCCGTACCCGTGCGCCTGGGTTGATGCGCATGATGTTCCTGGCAAGGCAGTCCACCTTGTTGAGGCCGGTTTCGTCGGCGAAGACATGCTGGGTTAACGCGTTTGCCGGCGTCACGGTGTCTGGATCGATAAGGACGAACTCGCCAACACCGATGCGGGCGAGGTCTTCAATGAGTGAGCGCGAGCCGCCGGTACCAAAGGCGACCACCCGACTGCGGCGCAAATGCATTAGCGAACCGAGTTGATCTGAGGGCTGATAATCCGATTGGGCGGAATGGGGCACTACAGTGTCTGGCATGCTGAGTCCTTTGATAAATGAAAGCTCCGTGTTAAAGACCGATGGGCCTAGCCTAGAAGAATGGTCAATTGAATTCTCAGTCGCCGATCATGACGGTTTCGTCGGCTTGCATAGCGATGGTGCTCACGAGATCGCCGATGGCGATTGCATGATTGCCCACCGGGACGCTAAGCATCAGCGGCGCGGTGCCAACGAACACACCGTTGACAAAGACTCGCCGATTTCGGTAGGTTGCGGTGACCTCTAGGTGGGCCTCTTTGTAAAACGACACGTTCAGTCGCGTCATTGTGTTTGCTGAAATGTCCACCGTTTGTTGCGCGAACAGTACTGAGCTGCCGGCCGTGATCTCATAGCGCCCGGGCACCAGATTCAGGTGTTGACCGGGGACGACAAGATGGGGCGTGCCGTTGATCAGTAGGGTGCCTTCACGCTCGGAATCGACGATGAGCACGCCGCTTAACTGCGGCGACTCTGCGCGTATGCCGGCCTGTTCGCTCGGGTCCGAGTGAGCCGGCTCTGTCTTGGCTGGACGATCAGGTAGGCGTTCGCTGGTTGGTGTTAGCCGCATCCTCGCGTAGTGACTCAGTGTCTGCGCAGCCATCGGTAGCTGCTCAAACAAGGTCCAAAAGATCTTTTCAACAGTGATCGATTGATGGACTGTGGACTGGGGATGGATAGCACTCAATAGGCCGCGAAGCGGCTTTGACGCCAGCACTTGTGCTTCGGTCTGCCACGGCATCAGTAGTCCGTAATCGGCCGCCAGTGCTTTGATGATCGAGACTCGCTCGGTTGGCGGCAGCTTGGCAAAGCGTTCTTGGGCCGTACGCTGAACCTGCGGATCGATGGCAACTCTTGCTTGGTCGTAACAGCGCCAGTACGGCAGGACCAAGAATCGCCCCATCAACAAAACTACTGAGAACTCTACGATCTGCCGCAGCGCGTCGTCACGACCTTGGAGCGTGCGTTGTTTGCTCAAGCCGCCCACGCCGGTGCCGGCAATCGCGAACCCCCATTGGTGTTCCCGATTCGAATACCAGACGCGAGCCTGCACTGACGTGTTGACGCCGAATATGGCCGCTCCGGTCGCGGTGCTCGACATCCCCAAATCCACGCCGAGTGTGGTGGAGCTGGACTCGGCACCGACGCTGCCGCCTAGATCGGTCGAGCCGTTCCCCTTGCCGAAGAAGGTCGAACCGTTTACACGCGATGTTTGACCCGTTTGGCCTCTGTCGTATTGCGTAATCGCGCCCGTGATAAACACGTTGGGCGAAAGACGCGGCAGCGCCTGCTGGCGCAGCCTGGCCTCAAAAATCAGAAAATTGACGTCGCGCGAAGTCGCACGCAGTCGCGGGGAGATACTGCGAACAGCCGTCTCGACCATGGTTGTGATCTCGAAAGGGATTTCTGCCAGACCGTTTCTTGATTTGAGGCCTTCATCACGAATCGGT